CCAAAAAACAAAAAAACAATGATGCTGGAATATCACTATAGACACTTTCGGTTGGGTGCATTTATGTCAGAAAACAATGGGTTTCAGGGCACATATATGACAAATTTTGGTAGATAATACCAATCTTTCCCATTAATTCTACTGTAGAGATTATTATAGAGGAACTTCCATCATCCACATGCTCACTTATAAATATCATTGTTTTATTTACTTTTAATCTTTCTATAAGTAAATAAGTTACTGATTAAAACACAAACCCATAAAACAAATGCATAATTTAATAAAGTATGGAAGTTAAATACGCTCACATTTCCTGTCTTTCTTAAGAATGGGCCTTGACCTACATAAGTAACCATTGTGACTGACAACTACTTCCTCCCTCAGACTAGTCACTTTACCTGACTTGAAGTAATGATTTCCTGCAGATCTTTTTTATTCTAAATTTTTTAATTTTTAAACACTATAATTTAGTTATGTGCACTTAATTTTTAAAAATGTTATTGGGAAAAAAGATACACGTAGACACATACATTCATGTGTATGCTGTGGGTTAATTTTGTGCATTTTTCAAAAATGGATCAAAGTCCATCTTTGCACATAAGACTATCTGGTCCTTGCACTATTTGTGAAAAGACTGTACTTTCTCCATGGCACCTCATTGGCACCTGTGTAGAAATTCAGTTGACCAAAAAATGCGTGTCTGTTTCTTAAGTCTATTTTATTTTACTGGTATGTTTGTCTACACTCATTCATGCCAATATCACCTCGTCTTGATTACTCAGCCTTATGGCATCTTGAAGTCAAGTAGTGTAAATTACCAATTCCCTTCTGTTTTTTCAAAATTCTTCAATTGTTCTAGGCAATTTATATTTCTACATGAATTTTAGAATTAGCATGTCAATTTCTAGTTAAAAGAGGCTTTCCCTTTTGGTTGGGGTTACTTTGAATAAGGAGAACAATGTGGTGAAAGTTTATGAATTAATGATATAGAATCTTCTGATCAACAGATGTATACCTTAATTTATTGAGGTCCTTCAAAAACTGTGTATATTAATTATCCAGAACAGTGAATTTTATTATGATATTTTCATACATGCATATAACATGCTTTGAACACATCCCGCACTCTACCTTATTTAGGTCCTTGAAATTTTTTTCTCAGAAATGTATTGCCACTTTGCATTTAGATTCTGTTTCTTATTTTCTCAGATTTATTCCTAAATATGTCATGCTTTTGGTGTTGTTTCAAATTATAGTTTTATTTTATTTTCACTCTTGGTTGCTCACATGTGGAAATATACAATTAATACTTGTTTACTGATTTTTCAATCTGTGACTTTGCTAATTCACTTAGTAGTTTTACACCAATTTTTTGCTGACATTTTGACTGGGATTGTTTTGAACTGTAGATCAATTGAGAAACAACTGATGACACAGTAAAAGTGAGACTTCTGAACCAAAATCACATTATGGGGTTATCTAATTTTTCTCATTGATTTTGCAGTTCTGTTATGTACATCTTTTATCATATTAATCCCTAATAGGATTTTAGAGTTTTTGATATTTTATGCTATAGTAAATGCTACTTTGTTATTTCATTTTGTTTCTGAAATTGTTCTTGGTAGCCTATGAAAATGCAGTAAATTTTGGTATACCAATCATTTTTTCTGAACATATTTTTGTTTGCTTGTTTTGTTTTGTTTTTGGTGCCAGGGATTGAACTTGGGTCCTTGCACTTGCAAGGCAGGCCATCAAACCTCTGGCTTAAATCCCTGGCCCTATCCTGAAAATCTTACAAATTTACTTTTTTGTTAATTCCACAGAATTTTCCTTCTTTTCTCTCTCTCTCTCTCTCTCTCTCTCTCTCTCTCTCTCTCTCTCTCTCTCTTTCTCTTTCTTGTACTGGGTATTAAACTGAGATCCTTGGTAGTGAGCTACATCCCCAGCCCTTCTCTTCTTTTATTCTGAGACAAAGATTTGCTGTTAGGTTTACATCTAAAATGTCCCCAAGGCTTCTTGCACTCTTAGGTGTGGAGGTGATTGGTTCACGGGGTCCTGCATTAATCCACTGATGAGCTTACAGCTAAGTGTGATTGGGAGATGAGGCCTGATTCCTAGAAACTGGGTCACTGGAAGTGTGGCCTGGAAGTGTCTATCTCTCTTCCTCCTTGCTTGATCTTATTGTTTCTGGCTGCCGTGCCATGACCTCCTTCTCCTCCGCGATGTCCCCATGCCATGCTGCCCTGCCTTGGATCCAGCCAGCGATGGGCTGGAAGCTCTGCAGACAGTGAGCCAAAAGAGTCCCCTCCTTTCTTAACTTGTGGGTGTCCCATATTTGTCCTCCAAACAAAGACAGTAAATAAAACACTCTCTAAGTCACTAAATTGTCCAGGCTGGGCTCGAATTGAATTTGTGACTCTTCTGCCTCAGCCTCCCAGAGTGCTGAGAACACAGGTGTGCACCATCGTATCCAGCCATAGATCGTACAGAATTTTTCAAATAAAGTATTTCATCTTGTCATGGTCTAAAAATTCATTTACGAGGTATAGAGATATTGAAAAGATCTATTTTTTCATGAATGAGTAGGCTTTAGTGAGTGGGATCTTTGAGAGTTTTCCATTTCATTATATTCTCAAATATATTGAAACAATGATTTTTATAATATATTCTAATTACCAATTTAATATGTATAAAATCTCCAGGGGTAACACCTTTCTGCTCCCTGATATTGATAATCATCTCTTTCTTTCCCTCCTTTTCTCTCCCCTTCCTCTCTTTTTCTTCTGATTATTTTGACTAGAGGTTCGTAAATTATTAATCTTCTGAACAAAATCTGCTTTTGCTTTTCATAATTTTGTCAATTGTTTTTATGTTTTCTACTCCATTTGTTTTCTACTTGATATTAATTTCTTGTTCTCTGCATATACTTGGATTTATTTCTTTCCTTTTTCTACTTTCTTAAAATGAAAGCTGAGATTATTAATGAAATTTGTCTTTACACCACAAGCTTTTAATGTTACAAACTTTAATGACAAATTTCACTGCATCCCTCACATTCGATATGTTGTGTTTAATTTTTATTTACTTTAAAATACTTTTTCATTATCTTTTTGATTATCTGTTTGACATAGGAATTCTTTAGAATTTGGAAACCTAATTTCCATTTGGGAATTATTTTCCTTATCTTTTTGTTACTGATTTGTAATACAATTCTATTTTGAGAAAATCTTTTGTCTGACTGCTTCTTCTAAATTTATTGGGTTTTTTTTATGGCTTAGCCTGGGTTTGTGATTGCACATTTTTCCACTAGAGTACAACACTGTGTTACATTTTGGCATCACGTTCTGCTCTGAAGGAAGTCCTGGCTGCTGCTCCACGTTGGAGTTAGTTCCAATCCCCTTGCCTGTCCTGCAGGCTGATTGAGAGTTTCATGTGTATGGAATATTGCTTCTTGGCCTCTCCTGCTTTGCGTCATGGAGGCCTACAAGCTTCACTTTTATCATCCTCCAGCTATCACAAAAAAAGTTGCTTACATGTGGAGGGGGAATCTCAGAAAACATTGGCTCGGGTCTCCTCGGCTGCTCATCTCCCAGGTACCCTTTATTCTCCACTCCGAGGGTGTCTCCAGGTGGGCTGTCAGGAAGGAAATTGAACATGAAGTGAACACAAGCCATGGGATAGGTTAGTGGTTAAATATAAAACCCGAGCCTTTTGAGTTCTTTATTTTTTGCCATGCTGGCAATTAAACCTCGAGCCTCCGCAATGAGCTACATTCCCAGCCCCGTACATCTGTTTTGATACAGGATCTCACTAATTCACTAAATTGCCCACACTAGATTTGTAATTCTCCTACTTTGGCCTCTTAAATTACTGGGATTAGAGGTGCGAAAGATTTTAAAAACACAGACAGTCAGATCGTACCCTATAAAAATTAAACCACAGTATCTCAGGTCAGTAGTTTTTGAAAGATACGTAAGTGATTTCAAAGTGAGGCAAAACTTGATAATCAGTGGGATAAGCATTTGTGTATATGCAAAAGTTTGATTTACCATGCTTTTTACCTGGTATTCAGTAAGAAACTTAATATTTTCCTACATTTACTCTCCTGTATGGCCCCCAAACTTATATATCTGAGTAATTGTTCCCTTCAACATAAAATGTAGACGTACCTCTGAACTTGCTTCAACTTAACACATTTTTGGTAACGAATTAATAATACGATAACTCCAATACTAATAACAATCATAACAAGCACAATGACCATGATGGAGATACCTGCAACATTAAAAAAAAAAGGGGTAGGTGGCTGTGGCCTGGGCATCAAATTTAGGACAGTGGAATGCTAACATTTAATGGAGATGTTACAATGCTACTTGACAAACTTGTGCTCCTCCTTTGACATTTTACATAGAATAAGAAGGCTAAACATAAGTTTTCATCTGCATTAGCAATATTCAGTTATATTTAAGGGAAACCACAATCAGCAAGAAATTTTTAGTTATTAACTGTCTCTTAAGGCCTTTTTCTTTTTGCGTTGCAGAGATTTAGAAGAACTAAGCCACATTTAGCTAAAAGGGGGCATATAAATTGGAAAGGGCAATTGCAGAAAATTCATCGTCGGTTTGCAAGCATGCAAAATAGTAAAATGATCAAATAAATCAAATATCATGTAAAAGTACAAGAAATATATGGCAAATCTGGAAAATAAGGAAAAACACTCTCAGTGACTAGGCTTCTGATAAATGTGACATATTAGAGTCTAGGATACTCACTGGTAACATGTAAGGTCTGCTTCCAGTCTGGGAAGATCCGTTCTTCCTCACACTGGCACTCAGGTTCACGGCCATCCTCCTGGAGGAGCAGCTGAGCACACGATTCCATCAAATGGCTGGCGTAGCTGTGTTTTATATCTCCTGTCTCATTACATCCACATTAGCTCTACACCAGACACGTGCGCATACAGACACACACACACACACACAAACACACACACACACATAGTTTTACCTATTAATAAACTAAACTAGTTTGTAAATGGGGTGGGGAGGAGGGGGTGAAGGGAGGGCAGGGACAAGGGGAAAAATGAGAACCAAAACCTGTCGCGTAGAGGTACAAGATCCCAATAATGACTGTAACTGTACTGTATCCCTAAAATGTACCAATAAATTCGATTATTTAAAAAATAAGTAAATAAACTAAACTGCACATCAAAATCAATGTTGTACCAAAATAAGCAAATAAAACACAAGTAGCAACCACCTTTGAAGAAAGCCCTGAACGAGAGAGTGATAGTGACAAATTCAGACAGAGGAGGAAGACTGTGTGACTTATCCTGTCAGAAAGCGTCCATACCCTTCAATGAACAGCCTCTTTCACTCTCAACACATCACAGGCAAAACAACAGACCCTAAACTTAATAATAACGGGACAATATCGACAGAGGAAAAGGTGCTGGCAAAATGGTTAGTTCATCAGGACAGCACTGTGTAATGGTAGGAAAAAAGACTCTGGGGTCATCTACTTGGAGTTGGCAACATCAGTTGTGGTTGTACCCGGTTCCATCCATTAAGATGGGCATGGAGATAGAATTCATCTCTTGTGGTTGTCACAAAGATTTGAAAAGTGTACACATATACACATAGAAATGGATACTACTTGAAAGAGTGCTTGATGCATACCTGAATAAATCTTAAAGCATGATGAACTGGGATTGGGAAAGATGTTACCCATAAATATAAACTTAGTATTTAGTAGTGTTGAGCTAAAAATTTATAATTATTTATTGTTTTGCTAAAAAATATTAGGCTAATGTTGACATGGGCATAAATTAGCTTTATATATCTGTGTGTTACATAGAACTTTAAAGTTCAGGTTTAAATTTAACAGGTTTATAAATTGCTAGGTACCTAGATTACAAATCTACTGATACAATATTTACTTGTGATACTAGCAATATCTGTATGCAATGATATGTGGCCTGGTTCTTTAAATGACATTTTTTGATGACACTTGAAAAGAATGGATGTCAAATATAAACCTGATTAAGAAAAAGCATACCCAGAGACAGGCTCATGACTAAAGGTTAATATAAACAAATAACTGGCAAGACACTAACTTAGAAAAAATCAAATCTTACAGAATTCTCATTGCACTGAGGACAACTGGTTGAATTGTAGACTTGTTCAATGTTTATACATTCACCATTGATGCACACCTAGACATGAGTAAGCAACATGAAACAGAAGGAATTATAATTCATGTGACATTGTAATCTTACATATTACATATAAAATTATACACTCCATTTTATATGATTTAATTATAATTTGTATAATTTTCTCTATTGCAAAATTCTACAGAGAGAATCTGTAGATGCAGAAATTTACACATGATTGATGGATTTATGTGTAAGCATTAACACATACAAACCATCAATGATTAAAATGTTTGTCTTTATTCTTTGAATGTTAATCTACCAAAAATTCTTCAGTCATACAATGATTTAGTCCATGTCTACCAAGTTTCTTTTGATTTTGTATAAAGACCAAAGCTTTTAAAAACATGATTGCTAATTAGCATTTTGCTAATATCATTTAATCTTATTTAAGATGAATACTTTTGAGTAGAGATTTTCAATAGTAATTTTTAGTTACCATTCAACATATTTTAGCACTCTTTTAATAAATAGATTAACAATAATAAGCTAAAAATTTCTCGAAGTTTATAGATTTTATTGCTTACAGCCATTTCTTTAATATCCTATCTCCTTATTTAACTTCTTAAATCCATTTCTCAATTGACTATAATCGTTTCTTGAATATTTTTTGCAGAAAAGAAGGGGAGTTTTTATTTCTTTAGTTATGAGGTGTGAACAGGCATCATTCTACTGGTTTCTTGTCTAAATAATAATTGAGCTGTGTATAGGCCTTTTGCATTCCAAGTGTTCCCCAAAGCTCAGTTCATGTTACTCCATTATCTTTTTTGGCATTTCTTGTTAGAGAGAAATATAATAATATCCTGGGGCAATTTTTCCTGTGGGCAAATAATGACCTGCTTTCTTTGTGCTTGCAAATGTATTTCTCATCCTTGACCTTAATAATAGGAAGGTACTGGTACTGTTTTCTTTGTGCGAATTTTTTCAGGCACTATTAGTATCGTATAGTAATTTCCCTGCCCTAAATATCCTTTCTGCCTATTCATCCCTTCCTTTCCGCAATTCCTGGAAACCACTGGTGTTTTTACTGACTCTGTAGTTTTTTTTTTCCAGGTAGTTGAAATTGTACAGTGTGTAGCCCCTTCTGCCAGGCATTTCCATTTCAAATAAAGGGTAACAAGCTTCCTTTCTTCAGCCCTTTTACCTTCCAAATTAATAAAGTAATTATCTTATGTACATTAAGAACCATGTCACAATAATTTAAATCAATCATCAAACATATTAGAAAAAGCTAGTGACAAATGATAGCATTCTGTGTGTATTCATAATTTTACTGATTCCATTTTTTTTCCTTTTTACAACATGGTGTTCAAAGATTACTTACTTTACCAAAAAAATTAAATGTATACTTTGGATAAGATTTGAAAAGATAGTAAATATTTTTAAATGGTATCATTTAAGAGCAACAAGCATTGCCTTCAAGGTTCAAAAGAGGTAACGTACTGAAATGGAGAACACTTGCCAGTATACATTTGTTGAAATCCACAGGGTGTACAACATTTCCGTTGTCATAACAGTGAGCTGAAGTGAAAACTATGTATGCTAGGTAACAATTATATGTTAATGCAGATTCATCTTTTGTTTGTTTGTTTGTTTTTGGTACTGGGGATCGAACTCAGGACCTTGCACTTGCGAGGCAGGCCTCGGAACCACTGAGCTAAAACCCCAGCCCTGTAGATTCATCATTTGAAAGAAATGTGCTGCTCTGGGAGAGGATTGTTGTATAATGCAGGTGTGTAGCAATGCTTGCAAAGGGGATCTGGCAAACCTACTAGATAAACTCTGCCTTTCATATGTTCTCACTTCTGTGAAAGCTGAAGAAGTTGTTGTAGAATTGCAAAATAGAATCGTGCAGGGGCAGGAGGTAGAGAAGGGGACAAGAGAGATTCTTGAATAAGTACACATTTGTGGTTAAGTGGATGGGATATGTGTTAGTGTTCTATGTACAACAGGGTAACTAGCACTAAGTAGAATTTACTTTATACTTCTAAATAGAAAAGAGGGTTTGTATGCTCTCAACAGAAAGAAATTACAAGGTGGTGAGAAATACACTAGTTAGTCAGATTCAGTCATCACACACTGTATACATGTGTCAAAATATGATGCTACACCCCATAATTGTGTACAAGTATCAGTTAAAATTAAAATTGAAAAGGTGAAAAAAAATGTCTTTCCCATTTTTCTTTGTGCTAAAAATGTTGTTCCCTGGGTCAAAGCTGAGAGGTAAGAGGGCACCCATGTTCCATGGACATACACAGACACTGCTGCCTTTAGATTCCAGAGGCACTTTAATCCCATCACTAGGAAAGTGCTTGTCTGCTTTGTCATGATCTGTGAAGTCTAATGTATGAAATTCTCAAGTACACTCATCTTTAAATCATCTGTATCTGGCATAGTTCTGACAACCTAATACTTGGTCAATAAATATGGTTGAATAAATAAAATAAATGAGGAAGATATACAGATTTTATAGTCACATTAATTTTAAAAATATCATTAGAAGTCTACTATAAGATACTAATTAAGCATTTTTATCATAATTGCATATTTTATATAACTGAAATAAAGCAAAAGGAATATCACAGTGTTATTGCTACCATTCCTCAAAAATAAAAAAGTAGTAGCAATGTTTTCCTTATTTCCCACATATAAGTCCCTCTGGCACCAATTATAGGATCCAATACTCTTTTTGAGCAGCTGCACGAAGAAGTTTTAATAAAACAAAGGGTTTCCTTCTTACCATCTCCTCTCCACATTTTGTTCTAGAATCAACCAGACCAATATCTTTAGAATTGTGATATAAAAAGATGGTCCTGCATTTGATGGTGACATTATTCTTTGGGTCCATAAGGTGAAAGTTCTTGACTTCTCCGAGGAGAGACGAGTGGTGTCCTCCGGTACAGTAAATCTTTCCGCACTTGACATCTCTGAAGGGAGGGAGAGAATTCTCAGCCTGGGAAATACAGATATCAGAGACCAGGACTGCTGCAAAGAAGCTGGGTCCATTTTGCTAGCCTCATGTTTGTCAACAGAATACTCAAGCTTGATCCCGACTAAGCAAAACATTACCTGGTTAACGTCACGGCCCTGGGAACTCAGTAGAGGAGTTAAAATGTGCAAGATAATCACTTTCAAATTTCTCTGTGATTCTCACCAATCTGTATTAGTCCAAGCGTACAGAAGGTCATTTCTTACTACAACTTGAATTAACAGGACTTTCGTGAGCACACTGAAATTCCCCTCTTGTCCTCTCTTGCTCAGAGTGCGTGACCTGACTCTTCCAACACAGCTGCAAGTTTGTTGACATGTTAACTCCCATGTTCCAGATCAAGTGGAATGGCGGCCCACTTTCAGCTGAACGGGACCATAAGCTTTTGGGACTGTTGTTTTCAGTCCAAATCTTGTTTTGTCACCATGGAAATTCTCGCAGAATGTCATTCAGCAAACCTGGAAGTCTGGCCTAACTCGTTCTTTTCTGGATCAGACCTACATTCCCCAAATCCCACTCTCCTAAAGCCAACTTCTACTTTTCTTTTCATGACTAAAATTCTTTCATTCTTTTCCTTTTCTCACTTTTGACTTATTCCCCCCTTCCTTCCTTTATTCAACTTTTTACGGTAAGACTTGTTTCTCCCCTTTTCGCTAAGCACTTGAAGTCCACTCCGATTTTCCTCTTTGTATTCTGTGACTTTCAGCTAATGAATGCTGTGTGCAATTACCAGTCAACACGGTCAGCAATGCGCATGCTCTCTTGTGCAGCTCTGCTCTATTCTTAATCACTTAGCCAAAGAAAGATAACAGCTGTCAGAAGAAGTGCCTTTCTGATTTTTCAAAGCACCACTATAGAGCACTTACTTTTTTTCCACTGGGCACTTACTTCTCTTCACAGGGAACAAATCTGTTTTCCTTGTTTTTGCAGTAACCAAATTTATTTCCTTTTTTATTCATCATGTAGCAAGCATCAGGACTCTCTTTTGCTTCTGAAATGCGTGATGATATGAAAAAAGCGAAACAACCAATGAAGGCAGGAATATTGAAAATCTTAAAACACCTTATTTTCTAATGCAGTAGAACTTTAGTATCACGAGTATCATGTAGTCCTGAAGTAGAAAGGAATAAATATTTTTTAAACTATTCCATTGCATCAGCACTGTGTTCTAGCAGAAATGGAGATATAAAACAGTAACACACATGCATTGGTTAACATACTCAGATAACTGATTAATATTGGAGGGAAGGTCAACTAATAGAGGTAATAATCAAAGAGATGCTAAGCGATACACTAAAAAAATGTCAAAAATTATATCAATGTCCTATTTCACATTGTCAATTATACCATTAGGATCTTATGTACAATTATAGTTTTTCACACCAGAGAAATGATTAGGTATTTACACATGTGTGACTTATTTATTTCACCTAAAATGTACCAATAAACTCAATGAGAAAAAACATTAGATCATTGTCAATTTTGCCTCAAACTCTTATGTGATAATTATAGGTAAGTAGAGGCTGTTGTCTTTAGGAATCAGTCACTGTGATAATCTCTCACCATCATCAAACAGTTCGGTGCACTGATCGTGCCGTGTGGGACATTCCCCCATGAAGCAGTAGCCCTCTCCGTTGTTACAAGGAAATCCATTGATCCGGAAGCTATCCTTTGGACACTCAGAAGAGTGGCCGGTGCAAACTTCAGGTAAATCACATTCATCATTTGCTGGTCTGCACATGGACCCTGCTTTTTTTATCTGTTGAAAAGAAACACAGACCGAATCTTTGACACACTTAGGTAAGGTCGAGGAAATAGGTAAAAAATTGATGCTGCAATTTATATAAACATGCTCTAAGGATACATCATAACTTCATTCTCCATTCCACTGAGAATTAGAGTTACTGACAAATGCTATGCAATTATATCGGTGACCATGTCATGATTTTGAACTTTATTATCCATGTAGTCTTAGATAGAAGTATAATAGATATAAATTGGTGAAATGGGTAAGTATTCTCATTTATCAGATATTTCCTTAGTTCCTCGCTTCAGTATACTACTCCTTCCTGCATACAAATCTGTAATAACGAATCTCCATCCCCAAGAAATCAGTACCTCCATATGAACTGGAAAAATACCCTGGGTTTATTTCTGGAGACACTTGCATGGAGATCTTTCTTGTTCAGCTGTTCAATATGCATTTATTGGTACTGATTCTGGAGAGATGTGAAGATGAAAACATGTTTCTTTTCTTTGTGAGTTCACAATGCAATAGGGCGAATGAAGTGTCAATAAATCCTTGTATAGTCATCTAGTCTCCTCTAGAACGATTTCTCTACCTTACTAGTCATGATCACTTTCAAATCCCAGTACAGTCCTCTTCCCTTTTATCTCATGGTGTTAGGACATGAATTTTATGCCCCACTGATGTTATATGGGCTGTTAACAATTTACAGAAGGACAAGAATAGTGCTGGCCATGTGATGCGACTCCTAAAACACCAAAGGATGCTTAGTAGCTTCTCCACTCCCCAGATCAAAACCATCAACCTGTGCCCAGAAGTCTGAGAGTCTCAGAATCTGTATTGTGGAGAGTTAATGACGGAGGATTGCCCATGGCCAGAAAGCTCTCGGAACTTACATAATTTAACCTGAAAATAGAGAGCTGTTTCCATTCCTAGTGTCTTACCCGACAAGATTCACAGCATTCTCCATGGGCACAAGTAAATCCTGGCTTCAGTACACACATATGTGCATCACAACAAGGATTAGTGCACTCCTAGCAACAATCAAAAATTAAATATCAGAAAGTTAACTTGTGGTTTAGCTTTTGTTTAAACAGAATCACAACAAGTTGACCCACTGATCTTTCAAAGTTAAAGACAACTAACTATATGATCTCTGAAAAAAATTTATGGATAAGTTATAGTTTGAATTCTGTGTTTGGGACTTTTACTCTCTTTCCATCCCTCCTGACTTTTCAATACTCCAATTTATGAATGCTCATTGGCAGGAAAACGATCTACAGCTTTCTCCTTTCTGCATGACTTCTGTTTCCTGAAAGTTCCTGTTGCTTCCTTATACTAAAGTTTGTTGTGAAACAATACAGATTTTAAAGATCTGAACTTGACTTCTGTTCAAGATGCCAAGCAGATCAGGCTGACCTTTCTTTTAAAAATATGTATCTTTTTATAGTAGTATCCAGATGGGCTCTTAAGCCCTATCCTCTTGAATAAAGTTAAAATTTCACTGGAAATCTGTATCTGTATCTGATCAAATAAGCTACTTCCGGTGTTGGAATGAACCTGTAGAACCATTCCAAAGAAGGCACAAGGTCAAAACGAAGAGCACTTTTTACACTGAATTTAAAACATATGAAGATGAGATCCTGTATCTCGGGACAGATCAATGTCCTCACTCTGATTGTGAAGTCTCATGAGAGCTGTCATATTAGGCTATTTTTGAAACGAGCACAGGTACTAAAAATGTAGTTCTCAGAGGAGTGGCATCCACAGAATCTTACAGCATTGTAGGAATGCAGAGTCTCAGCCCAACTGCAGACCCACTGGACGAGAGTCCACATCCTTACAACTTCCCTAGGAATTTGCATGTGCTTTTTAATTTAAGTAGTTAGTTATCTGGGTCACATATTTATGTGATGAGCTCCTGAAAGAAATAGTTCTGTGTTGGGGGGAGAGCAGATTAAGAATTACTTTACAATTTGCCTCAAAAGTTTTTTGTCTAAATATTCCAGAGAGAAAGACTGCAATTGATATATGAAAATTTTTTGAGAATTTCTGCTCTATTAAGAAAGAGTTTTCTAATATGTAATGAGATCTGTCCAGCTGTGATATACACAAGCCTCCTGCAGCCATGAGTAAAACTCAGCTGACTTACTCTGAGGGATTTTGGAAGAAGGCTACACGCTACTGAGCATGGGAGTTGAAGCACAGTCACAGGTAAGGGTGCTTCTCACAAGATGAGCTCATTAACAGATAGAGCAGGTGAACCTGAAGCTGCTAATCGTTAGCAAAAACATTATGCACATTTACGATTTCTTAAGTAGCAATGAAGTGAGGCTGTCCCAAAGTCTTGTTTCTAGATGGGAAAAAGTCTAGTTTCACAAAGTTTCGTAAGGAATGCAATGGTTGATACGATTCCTGGCTGGGGCCCTGCTTTGATTCCGGCTGAGCACGAACTTTGCAGTTCACAGACGCGTCATTGTCAAATACCTGAATCGGCCCACAGTCGCACTCTTCTCCCTCATCTACTTTCTTGTTCCCACAATATGGGAAGCCATTAAGATTGTCAGGAAATGGAACATTGAGGATGCAGGTCGGCTTAGAAGCCTTCAGGTACTGCTCGTACTGGATGTGGCTGCATTTGCTGAATTTTATGGCAGGAATGCTGGAAATTGAATGGGTTGAGATAAAAATAGAGATTTATTGTATCGATGCATCTTGGCATGGCAGCTGTGAAAGTTGTATGAAAAATTCAGAAACTCAATGTCATTGTTCACTGTGAGAGCAGAGCAGTAACAGGGTTAATCATCATTGTAGAAAATGTCTTAAAATACAGCTAACACATGCTATTTCAGTGATGCATCCTCTGGGAAATCATTCCCAAAGCCCACATTTTGTTTTGTTTTGTTTTGTTTCGTTTTTTGTACCAGGGATTGAACTCGGGTCCTTGCGCTTGCAACACAGGCCACCGAACCGCTGAGCTAAATCCCCAGCCCCCAAAGCCCACATTTTGGACTGCCTATCTGTACTTGTTGCTCCCATGTCTGCCTTCATGAAATCGTGTTAAAATAGTTCTGTAATAGTTGTTGTATGCTGGTTTTATAATCTGTGATTGCCATCCCTGCAAGATTAAAAGTTTCTCAAGGCAAGGACTATATGATGATCAAATTAAAAAAGAAAATCCAAACTAGGCATGGTGGCACATGCCTGACATCCCAGCACTCTGAAACGCTGAGGCAAGAGGATTACAACTAGGAGCTCATCCTGGGCAACTTAGTGACTTTTGAGACCCCTGTCTCTGAAATAAAAAATAAAAAGTATTGGGGATAGAGCTCAGTTAAAGGCCTTGAGTTCAATCCCCGGTACCACAAAATAAACAAAAACCTACTAGCTGATGCAGTGCCTGATGTTATGGTTATGGATTTATGTTTGCTGAAACAAACTATTTAATAATATCATAAACAGGATTAGGAATGCCGTGTATTGTTAGATTTCCCTTGTCTTAAGATGGTTGCTACATCAAATAACAGCCTTCTCCTTGCCATAATATCCCACTTTTCACTTAAAAATATGGCTTTACCTGCCAAAAGGCAGCCTTCTTCTTCCTCTCAACATGCTCTTTCTCCACCAAAAGAGTAGCTTGATACTTGCTACCTCCTAGCAACTAGTGATGTCACAGGCTTCCCCAATCCCAAGCCATTACATCACTCAACACCACCCCAGCTCCTATAAGAGCTCTTCCTGTCCTGACCACATTGCTCTCTCTCCTTTGTTTGGAGACAGCCCAGCAGATTGTACCTACAATAAAAGCTTGTTGTGGTTCTGGTCTGGTCTTGTTGTTTGTCTATTTTACCTGACATATCTGTCTTTTAAACTGAAATTGACCTCCCTCCTATCTTTCATATATTTGTCTGCCTTGGCATTATTATTGGTACTATGATTGAACATGGAAGGACTTTAAGAATCTTGGTTAAACTGGATGGAGATCAGGGTACTTTGAATAAGACTAAGTATGTAGGAAACCATGTAAAATTAGATATCTGTTTCTGAGTTCTTAGTCTATTCCCTGGCCATTTGTGCATTTTAGCTATTTTAAGTCATTGAATCAATATATAGGAGAGCTGAAAATCATTAACAGATACTTTCTTGCTACACAGAAAGCCATAGGCACATCTGCTGTGAAGAGGTCCCAGGATATGCAGGGCAGGACTGACCATAAGGTGATTCAGTGTAAGGCGGATACTGAGTATGTGTTCATTCTGAGACATTTATGGAGACACAACCTTCTGACCTCAAGGAACTTCTATTCTAGTAGAACAGGAATGTAATAAACAAGCTTCTTATATTTTGTGTAGGATATGTTAGTAAAAAGTACAAAGAAGACATATCCAGGATATGTGCGTGATGAAACGGGACTGAAAAGCTGGATCAGGTTGCCAGGAAGGGCTTTGCTGAGAATATTTGGGTAAACATTTGAAGGAAGAAATTATAGTAAAGATGACAAACCAAGACATATAGAATCCATTTCTTCCCTGTACAAGTCTCCCTTGAAAGTGGTGGTAATCAACCATAGTGTACTTTCATAAAGAGAGCTTTCAGAAAATTATATTTAACATGAACACTTTCCTAAAACAATGCTCCCAAATATTTCATAGGATATATTCCAAATTATTTAAACATATTCCCAGCACGACCCGAGCCTCACCTTCCAGCAGTGTCCATCACGCATTTCCCCAGCGGACAAGTGCAGGGGAACTCATCGTGCTGCATGCCCAGGCTATGTCCCAGGTGATGTGCCATTCTGTTTGCAATGATATTTATGTCAGGTAGAAGATCCTGGTGCAAAGAGAATGTTCATTAGAAAATTTTCAAAGAAAGCATGTTGTAGTCTGTAGATAGCACTGTGGACTATTGGCTGGAAGACAGTCTGTAGCTCCTACTTAAATCAGGGATTTAATTACTTCCCTCTCTGTACCACAATTCTTGCATTATATGATGCAATTGGGAAAGTGACTTTTAAGTGTTCATAGCTGTAAAATTGTGAAATGTGTGTGTGTGTGTGTGTGTGTGTGAGAGAGAGAGACAGTATTATTCATTGTTGGGTTTACACTAACTCAACCACAACCATAGTTAAAAAATGCTAATGTTGCTATGGTTCAGATGCCTATGTCCTTCCAAAATGCATCTGTTGAAGTCCTAAACCAAGCACTGGAGGCGATAAGGTTGTGGACACAGAGCTTTCACGAATGGGATTATTGCCCTTCTAAAAGAGGTCCCTCAGATGGCTCCTGCCCTTCTCTCATGTGAAGACACAGCAAGAAGGTGTGAACTTTGAGCCAGACAGTAGACTCTCGCCAGATGCCAAATCTGCCAAAACCCTGACCTTGGACTTCTCAGTCTCTAGAACTGTGACAAGCAATTTCTTTTGCTTACGCAGTTTATGGCACAGAATTTTGTCACAGAAGCCTGTATGGTCTAAGACAAACGGCTTACAATAAATGGTAGTGATTGTCTTTTCCATACTAGAGGGTCAAGGGGCACAAGTATGTGATGCTCATGCTTTCAGGTTATAATCTCACATTGAACAGCAGTGCATATGATCTTGTGGGAGGAGCTTCTGTTACAAGGAAGCCCAAAGATCAGAGATATAATACCCATGACAGCGTGGTTTGTTACCTTGGCTTATAGTTGTAATTCATGTTTTGATGCTTATATTAATGAAAAAATAGTTCCAAAGAGGGATAGGCTATTGAGCTTCTATAAAGCTAATGAAGCATTTTCATCTGCCCATTTTATTTATTTATATAAAATTTGAAATATTTTGTGGACTGATTAAAATACAATTCAGGTAGTAACATCCTGTATCAGAGTAGATTGACTGTATCCTGCAAAAATTACATTATTAAAATACCAAAAGCAAACCTAGGTATGAAAAGAACTACATAAATATAGTTTTGTCTCTATAAGTAATTACATTCAATATACAAAATAGCTTTATTGCGGGGATTTAGCTCAGCTGTTCGGTGGCCTGCCTTGCAAGCTCAAGGACCCGAGTTCAATCCCCGGTACCAAACAAAATAGCTTTATTAATCATGTATTAATCAGTGTGTGATATTCTTTTGAACTCTGAAGTACATTATTTTACCCTTTTTATTTATGTATAGTTTTGTATGACATTTCTTATTTAACAAAGGACATATACATTTTCATGACATGTTAGTGGGTGTATATAACGGAATGTGTATACAATGTCTTTCAACGGGACTCAGAATATTACAAAAATTTAGTTCAAACATTTAGATTAAGTAATCGGATATAAACAGAACACGACTCACCTTAATGATACTGGAGGAGTAACTGGGCAGGCACATACTCCTTCCATAAGAAGCTCCCTGTGCACTTGTGTAGAGCCACTTTCCACTACAGACACAACACAAATACACTCCTCAATCTGAGCTCGTAGTTTAACACAAAGATTCAATAGCAGTGAATCCCCACAGGGCTAATGCCCATGCATATGAAAGCATTTTTTATTTCTGCAGTTCTGGAATTGAGGATGGTTGAGTTGATATCCACCTCATTTCAAACCTACACTAAAGAAGAGTTACTGAAAAAGCTAATTCAAACTTAAGCTGAAATAGTAAAACAAAGGCACTTTTTAAAAAACAAAAAGTGAAGCTAAGTCCTTAATTTTCCTTTAGTCTATCCTGAACTCAGCTTTAAATAAAAACACTTAAATGACCAAAACAATTAATGGATTCAATTAGAAGTGTTCAAGAGAACAAACATGAAACAGACAGTATACTTAACACCATGATTAATTATATACGGTTGAAAAACCTTGAAACTTTCAATCAACCATAGGAACTCAGGGAGGATTTGACAGCTATAATTAAATGTTTAAAAGAGCTGTCATGTATGAAGAGAACCATCCACAGACAAATGTGTATATTATAAGTATCCGAATTTGATGTGATTCAGAAACCACTTTTCCAGATGGGCCACAATAAATAGAGCTCTCTGAGGCTGAAAGGCAACATTTCAAACATACAAGATTCAAACATAAGTGACCAGGGGCACTCACACCTTTTAGTCTTTAACATTTTTAAAAGATCAAGTAGTGATACTCTGTTTCTTTCTTTATTAATGATGGATTTCTGTTGCTGCATTCTATGTGTCAATTTTTCTGCTACATGAAGTTTAGTCCTTCAACTGTTTTTCATTTCCCTTAGGACTAAGACTTATGCAAGATATTTTGAATTACAAAAATTATGTAAAAGGACCAAATTTTAAAGAAATTAATGATTCAATACACAAATCCAGTCTTTTCTTTGGGAATCTAACAGTTGAGGTAGACTGAATTTACCAGATGCGTTGTCTTCTTTATTATATGGTAAAGATTGTTGTGGGGTTTGTGTCTGGCTGCACGTATTTGGATGACAGGCAATATCCAGAGGGTGAGATACTTCCGAGAAATGCATGTTTGTTAGACTCTTGGAGAGGCATGGTGTGAGAGCATTGGGGAAGTTTGGCATTGGATGATAAGTAATGTACACGGAGTCCCAATCTACTTAACTTACACAATGACCTTTTCAACTCTGAGCAGGAATGAACATATTACATTTTTCCTTTCTACTCTTATCCAATTATGGAAAGGAAAATTATTCAATAGTCTACTAGAAAATTCCCTGTATAACTAGAGACAACCTTTTTCTTTGTGTCCTACCCCAAAGTTAGTTACCTTAAAATTGTTTGGTTGTTCATTCGTTTTGTGGTCTATTTTTAATAATCCACCTAAGATATGAAGGATAATAGAGTAGTCACATACCTCAGTAACATAGCATGGTCAAAATTCTTCCTTTTTTTCAGGACTGTCTCTTGCCACTTTGAAAAACGCAATAAGGTAGTATCTGCGTTTGAAACTTGGGATATTTTGTCTCCATTTGTCCATATTTCAATGCCCACCAATGTCACATGAGTGTTCAAGGTGTTATAAATCTGTACCAAGAAGAAATCATTTTTCACAAACTCAAACAGCTAGCTGGAGCCTTAAACATTATTACATCCTTCTGTATTTCTAAAGAGAACGGTAATTTTAATGTGTGATGTATGTGAGCAAGAGTGCAGGTGTCATTTTACACACACATGTCTTGCAGTGGGACACAGAGTATATTGTACAGGACACTGCATGTTTTTCTCACGATCCAAGAAAAAGTTGACCAAAAAGTCAAGCAGTCTAGTTCTCCTGGAACTATCATATGTCTTTCAAGTGCTGATCTCAGAATATGTCTAGAAAAAGCATTTACTCAGGTTCTGAGGTAGTAGATTATCTCAAAATCAACTTAGCAAAAGTGGCACATGGTGGAATGAATACTCCTTGCTTTTCCCTCCAGAGTTTGTTCTATGGAAACCTGGTGTCAACATCCAGAGACTTGGTGTGGCCACTCTAGAACTTCATGACCAATTTTTATGACTAAGATTTCTGTTTGAGGCGCTTGACTGGGAAATAGGCAAACTACGCAGAAACAGTGGCAGCCTATGCATCTCCTCAGCCCTTTTGAAAACTGCTTTATAAACACCTCTCTGATGGATACTTTTGTGCTGTGAAAAGAGAAGACAAAGCTTAACAATGATCACAAATATTTTGAGACGAAGGAAGGCACGTGATATCACTTTTATATTCCGTAACAGCTAGTTTAAAACACAAGTTGAAGAAGGACAGAGTGAGTGACGGATTAAAAACACAAAATTAAGAACTGAATCGGAAAGGTCAGTCATACAATGTCACTAAGAATATAACTCCTTATCAAGAAGTTTCATTCCTATTGCAATAACCTTGTGTACTTTTCTCCTTAACCTGTAGTGCATGGACAGAGTGAATTTCTTCTCTTTCTCTTGTTTTTAATTACATTTATCGGTGCAACAGTACAGTTACATTCATCACTGGGATCTTGCAGCTTTACCTGATGCATCTTGGATCTTATTTTTTCCCCCGCATACCCCTGCCCTAACTTTCGCCCCCTCTACCCTTCCCTATTTACAGAGATTTTGTTTCCATTTTTTCCTTTTCTTATATTGTTTCCTTTTTCCTCTCCCCTACTCTTTCCACTTCCTCTGTACCTTTAGACCTTTTCTTCCTATTTCACATTACCAGTTATACAATTTGGATGTTATTTATACTTTTTCACAGCAAAGAAACTATTTCATGTTTACACATGTGTGTCCTGTTTACTTCACTTAAGAGTATGGCCTCAATATGCATCCCTTTAGCAATAAATGACTCAATTTATTCTGTCAACATTTTAGAAAAATATATAAAATTGCTCAAAACAAAATTATTTTAAGTAATGTATGAAGATATTACCCTGAAAGGCTTGGGCAGTTTAGGGCAAGTTATAAGGTACAACTATGTGTGTATTGGTACAATGCTATTTGAAGTTAGACTGTTTTCTCAAATATATTATAAGCCCATGATTAAATAAATACAAAGTATTTTAAAAGAAGCAATGGTAGAGACAAAACAGAACAGTCAAAAATACTGAATTCATTATGATATGAGATTAGTAATATTAACAAGAACAAAGATGGAGGTGGGAGACTTACAGGAGGAGGGAGGGAAGCCAGACGGAAAGGGAGAGGAATTAAGAGAATCATGCCATGCCATGTACGGATTCCCCAAGATGGGTGTAAACCGCATGTACTAAAGACGTGCCCTAATAAACAATCCTATTCACATTTAATTTTTAATTTATTGGTACTACTTTTATTTATTTATTTATTGGTACTGGGGATCGAACTTGGGTCCTTGTGTTTGCAAGGCAGGTGGTTTACTGTTACAATTTCGATATACATAATGATTGTATTCATCATAGGAGACTTGTACCTGTACATGATGAATACTGATTTCTCTTATTTTCCCATTTCCTTTCGCTCCCTTCAACCCGTCTACTCTTCCTATTTACAGAAACCTGCCACCAATTTTCCTTCTTTTCTCATTTTTCTTTTTGCTTCTTTCTTTTCCTCTCATCCCTACGAAGCTCCCTCCTTTCCTGAATAGGATATGCTATTCAAAAACGGTCAGGACAAAGTATAGAGCAAACAAAAAACATAAATAAATACAAACAGTTGAGCAAATAATCAATTTCAATGCAAACTTATCAATAATTACAGCAAATGTAAAGCACATACATATGGCCATTAAAACAGAAATCATCAGACTATCTCAGAAAATTTATAATCTATAAAAATGTCTTTTTATTAGACAAAGATAGATTGAAAGTAAGAATAGCAAAAGACCTATCATGCAAACACAAATCAAATGAAAGCTGAAAAGGCTCTATTGGTATCAAAGTGGGTTTAAGAGCAATGAGCAGTTACAGAAGTCACAGAGGGCATTGCTCGACCACAGAGGGGTCAAGTCAGAAAGAGGACATGCAGTGTGATGCATTTGCAACTGCCAGCAGAGCTGCACAAAACTAAAGACAAAATCTGGTAACGGAGGAGAGACACAGCCACCATGCCACTCATAGAATTAAATACTCGTATCTCAGTAATTGTTAATAAGTACTCATAAAATGAGTAAAGGCACAGAAAACCAGGAGAATGCTGTCAATTAACTTGACAAAACCAACAGTCATAGAAAACTCTATTCTCCCATATCAGAATACTCTGTTTGTTTTATCAAGTGTGCATGAACAATTACACAGAAACCAGATTCTGAACCATAAATCAGACTTCAAAAAATCAAAAGAATTAAAATCAGGCAAAGCAATTCCTCTAATTCTAATGGAATAAAAATAAGAAGTCAATAACAAAAAATATAAGAATCTCTATTTGAAAATTAAACAACACTGTCTATAACCACTGAATCAAAGAGAAGGCTGTAAAGGACATTAAAAATATTTTGAACAGCTGGGCGTGTTGGTGCATGCCTGAAATCCCAGCACTCTGGAGGCTGAGGCAGGAGGATCGCTGTGAGTTCAGCACCAGCCTGGGCTACATAGTAAGTTCCAGGACAGTCTCAACTACATAGTGACAGCCCATCTCAAAATATATATATATATATGTTTAACAGAATGATAATTTTAAAATAAAAGATATGACTATTTCCAGGTAACAGCCAAAAAAGCATAGACATTCTTTATGTCCCAGACCTAGTTATTTACATAAAATAAGTGAAAATGTGTGTTCAAGTGTATGACTGTATATAAATGTTTAAAGTAGTTGTATTCAGAGTAGCAAAAACTACACATATGTTAAATGTCATACAGACAGGTTAAATGTCCCTCAAGTGTTGAATGAACTGTCTGTAACCTGGAGGAATCATTCTTTCTCACATCCTCCTCTGGCACCTCTTTATTCTGGTGATAAATAGAGCAGGGATTGTCTGGGGTGCCACAGGAATCAGCAAAGATATACGTATGCAATTCAGAATTTCTTTTTAAGGATTATACCTCACTAAAATGTAAACACATGAATAATCTTAAGAGATTTTACTGAAATAGTTACCTTGCCTTTTAAGCCAAATCATGGGCAGTAAGTTGCAGCTTGAAAGATTTTATACACGGTCACAGAACACTGATTTAGAACGGTGAGATTTAACTTGAATGGGTTTGATTTTCAAATCAAATCAAATCACTGCTTCATAAATTTTGTGATTAGAGAACAATATTTGAAACATTTAAATAGTAAGTGGGATTTACTTAGAAAATGAAAACGTCAGACCTGTGGCTGGTTGCTGTGATTTTTCTTGAGTTTTGTTTATTAGTTTACTTGGTGAGGCTCTGGAGCTTAGACCTCCTCAGTATCAATATTTCTTCAAAGTCCAGCAGAGAGCTAACATGAACATTTCTTTGCAATTTTTTCCTCATTGAGTTTATTGGTACAATTTAGGTATATAGTACAGTTACATTCATCATTGGGATCTTGTACCTTTTCATGACAGGTCTTGGTTCTCATTTTTTCCCCTTGTCCCTGCCCTCACTTCACTCCTCCTCCCCGTCCCAATTACGAACATTTTATTTCCATTTTTTTCATTTTCTCCTATTTTTTTCTTTTTCCTTATAACCTTTTTTCTGCCCTTCCCACTTTCCCTACACCTTTAGCCCTTTTCTTCCTATTTCACATTGTCAATTACCTCATTAGGATCTTATGTACTATTATAGTATGGTGAGATTTAACTTGAATGTGTTTGATTTTCAAATAATTTGCACACTGCTTCATAAATTTTGTGATTAGAGAACAATATTTGAAACATTTAAATAGTAAGTGGGATTTACTTAGAAAATGAAAACGTCAGACCTGTGGCTGTTTGCTGTGATTTTTCTTGAGTTTTGTTTATTAGTTTACTTGGTGAGGCTCTGGAGCTTAGACCACCTCAGTATCAATATTTCTTCAAAGTCCAGCAGAGAGCTAACATGAACATTTCTTTGCAATTTTTTCCTCATTGAGTTTATTGGTACAATTTAGGTATATAGTACAGTTACATTCATCATTGGGATCTTGTACCTTTTCATGACAGGTCTTGGTTCTCATTTTTTCCCCTTGTCCCTGCCCTCACTTCACTCCTCCTCCCCGTCCCAATTACGAACATTTTATTTCCATTTTTTTCATTTTCTCCTATTTTTTTCTTTTTCCTTATAACCTTTTTTCTGCCCTTCCCACTTTCCCTACACCTTTAGCCCTTTTCTTCCTATTTCACATTGTCAATTACCTCATTAGGATCTTATGTACTATTATAGTTTGTTCACACCAGAGAAACTATTCCGTATTTACACATGTGTGATTATTTATTTCACTTAGGAGTATATCCTCAATATATATCCATTTTCCTTTGAATGAATCTAATTTGTCATTCTTTATGGCTGAGTAGTATTCCATTTTATAGAAAAGCCACATCTTTTTATCCAATTTCCAACTGATGGGCAAATAGGCTATTTCCAAGTTTTAGCTATTACAAACTGTGCTGCTATAAACATAGGTGTGCTTATATCTCTGTGATATGATTCTTTTAATTCTTTTGGAAAGATACCCAGCAGAGAGATTGCTGGGTCAATGGAGCCTCTAGTCCTAGCTCTTTAATAAATGGTGTTAGAAAAACTGGATCTCAACCTGCCAAAGATACAAACTAGACCCTTATCTTTCACCATGCACTAAATTAAAATCCAACTGGATTAAAGACCTAAATATTAAAAACAGAAACACTGAACTTGCTAGAAGATAAGTTAGGCAGAACTCTTGAAGATATTGGCATAGGAAAAGACTTTATGAACAAATCCTCAGTAGCACGTGAACTAGCAGAAAGAATCAACAACTGGGATCTCATCTTATTAAAAAGCATCTGCACTGCAAAAGAAACCACCAACAGAGCTAAGAGACAACCTACAATGTGGGAAAAAATTTTTACCATCTGCTTCTCAGGCAAAGGACTATTATCTAGAACATATAAAGAACTCAAAACAATCAGGCTCCCCCAATATAAAGACCCAATTCAAAAATGGGCATCTGATGCAGAAAAAGCATTTGATAAAATTCTCCACCCATTCATGATAAAAACCCTGCAAAAAATTGGAATAGATGGTCTATACCTCAATTTAATAAAGGCTATTTATGAAAAACCATCAGCCAACATCATATTGAATGGCCAAAAACTGAAAACCTTCATGTTAAAATCAGGAACAAGACAAGGATGCCACGCGGTTGTGGGCGAAAGGAACCCTTCTCCATTGTTGTTGGGAATGCAGACTGGTGCTACCACTGTGGAAATCAATATGGAGATACATTTCTTTGCATTTGTATTTTCACTTGATTCAAATTATATCAATCCTTACCATGTTGACAAAATTGACCATTCCCCAAATTCTTCTTCTTAGATTATAGTGAGGATTACTATTCCTGCGATACTGGAAATGAAAACATTGTACCAACATTCATTAATGATATGAAAAAGCTCAACAAAATACTTCACCCATTATGAGACATTACAAAGGGAAAATGCATTGGAACAGCAAGGAAAGAGGAACGAAGAAGCGTCTAAGGCCTGGACAACACATGCAAAGGTCTTTATTTGCAGTACTTGGGAACCAACATGCCTTATACTCGGAGCAATGCCCGTCGAGCAACGTCCGTGGTCTTAGGCTCTCACTAAATTTCTCAGGCTGGTCTGGAACTAGTGACCCTCCTGCCCTAGCTAGAATTACAGACATGCACCACTACGCTCTGCTGAGACTATTTTTTAAAAATATTAACTAACTAGATATAGCAGCCTATGAAGACATATTTTAGCTCAGTACAACATTCAGGTTTTCTATCCAATTTTGGTTGTCCTCTTTTCCATACATTATGCTTCATTACATTGGTAATTAAATCAATTGATTGGTACTCTTTAGAGCCCATCGTATCACAAGGCAACACCTATTAAAGTTCTATAATAAATATTATGTTGCAAACAGACATGCTTCACCTCTCTTCCCGGGTCTACAGTGGTCACAAAGGATGGAACACATGATCCAAAGACTTCTTGGAGCCAAAGATGTGCCACTGGGGGATAGAAAACTGGTCTTCCCTGCTTTGTAGAGTAAAGCTCAGATGACAAAACTGATTTCTTCTTCGGCCCATTCTGAATTGAGTTCTCTTCTTTCACCTTGGTTCCCTTTTGGTACCATTAGGACCTTGCCAGTTATTATCAGGTAAATACACTTAATAACAAAAAATATGCTGTAAGGGTATAAGCATATCATCAAACTTCTATGATAAAAACAAAAAACAAGTATGCCTTCCCTGAATCCTGTAGTAATTTTCCTACGCCTTACCACCTCATCGCTGTCCTACTACTTTAAATATCTAAGCAATTTCAGATGTAGCATTAGCATCTTTTCTGTTCTCATCTCCTACCCACTCACCATACTTTGATTGCAGTTACCACTATTCTCTTGAAACTACTCTTGATAGTTCATGAATGTCCTCTTGAGTGAGCTAATCACTATTTTTTCATTTTTATGGTCATTTTTGTCCCCAACAAACACTGATCATTTTTTTTTCTTTTAAGAAACGATTTAACACTTTTATTCCTAGGACCCCATACACTCCTACTGATTTATTGTGGGATCGTCTTCTCCTACCAGGCCTTTAAACTTTGGGTGGGAAATATATCTCACTCCAGGATTCTAGCTGACTACTCGGGAGGGATTGTATAAAGTATGTTACAGAGAGAGAGAGATGCTAAAGCTATCTTCGGGATCACAGGAGTAAGATAATTTATCCATCATTTATTTCCAACTGTGGGCCTGGGGAGAACTGCATGTGAGCTCAGTCCTTTTACTGTCAGGCCCATATTTGATCGGTGTTCTCAGGACGCAGACATTTATGCTCTGATTTCCCCATGCTCGTTTTGGGTAACACATCCATATTTTAGGCACGATTTTTTTTCTTTCAGCCCACCCGTTATTCTTGCTTGATAGCACCAAATTTTAGAATTATCTTTGTTACTTTTTGAATAGATAGACTAGAAACTCATATCGCCTCCTACTGGATGAAAAGTGTATCACTCACAATAGGTAACCTTTCTCTTTGTTTCAGCTGAATACACTGTTGTGTTGTTTTGTCCTGATTATTCTGAAATTCTTCCACCCCCATCCTTTTATTTCTGAAAAACTCTTCAAGAATTATTGCAAAAATATTACCTGTCATCCAATTACCCATATTCACTCTTTCATTCAGCATTTAATGTCTCCTAATCACTCTTTCATAGTTTCTGCCCCTTTCAATCCCTGTGCTCCTTAGGTGGTAGATTTCTAACTTCCCCAGCCTCCAACTCACTGATTCTTCCTTCTTATGAGTCTCACTTCCTATTAAATTCATTCAAGAATATGCACTGCTCCCTTCTGCAGACATTAAAATAGTGTTTCAAATAGTTTTCTCCAGACTCCTTTCATTGTTTTATACTGACTTCTATTTATTTTGGTAACTTCAATAAATTTAGACCTATGCTTTTATTATGCAGAATAATTTTAAATACCACTGGATGCTTTACGTTCCTGGTAGGTTGATTTTGCTTCTCATTATGTTGCTCTACTCTTCCTCAGGTGATTCACCTTACCTTGGGTTGTTATATTGTCCTTATAGGGCATTTTTGACTTGGGTTCTAGTTGTTTACCAAATCATTAAACAATTTTTATGTTGAAAGCTTTGCTCAGCATGTGTGCCCCTGAAAAATGCACACTAACATGCTCTGTAACTACTCATGGCACAAGCATACCCCCCATAGCATTCTCTCTGCCCATGCTTGGGGGCAGATAGACATTTCTTTTACCTATTGCAGTTTTTGTGAATGTTTATGGTTTCCTTTTTGAGGGTGAGGCGGTGTTTACGGCTCTGAGAATACAGATGACTCATTTACAAATGTCAGTTTTCTACTCTGAGCAATATCCCTTAAAACCCCATGACAGTATTCTATATATCTGTGGTCACTAAGCCTTTGAATTTTACTTCCTATTCTGACAGAGACTTTCGTTTTGATTTTTAGCTTTTGAAAACTGCAGGATTTTCTGAGGTCCACTATGAATTATTGACATGTTTCAATTTCTTCTCTTGTTCAGTACGTCCAAAAGTTTGCCATGACAAAGTCCTAGTTTGGATTAGACCGCTTCATTGTTCAAAGACCCAATAGTGTCTCATATGCATCTCTTTGGGAAAGCTAAAATCTGAGCCTAGAAGGGAACTCTGATTAGGATACTTTTTTGTCTAGTTTAGAATAACTATAGTTTTACAGAGATGAAAAAAGATCAAAATGTTATTCTGAAAACTTACCACAAATTCATCAGCAACAATGAGTAGCTCAATGTACTTTTCCTTATGGTTTTCCTGGAAATTTATGGAAAATTTAATGAAGTGTGTTGATATTCAAATTTTAAAATTTAAATAGAACTCATCTAACAATGTCAAGGTAAGAAGTACTAGTATTGTTGATATTGGAAGATGAAGTAAATGTGTGTATCTATCGAATTAGTCTATAAATCTATATAAGAAAGCCTTTGCATAAAGCTGTGGCCCAACATATCATATATTAACAATCCTGAAGCAACACCAAAGTTTTTGACTATACTTTCTTTTACTATGTGGACTTTGAGGTCAAACAAAAGGTATAAATGATAATGAATCCAGTTTTAATATTAAGGGCATTTTCTTTATTTACAAAATAAATGTTTCTTAACTAAGCTCAGGTAAAAAGCACCAACCTACAGCTGAAAGTTAAAATTGAACTGATTGATGGTACTAGCTATTACTTCTGCTGTTACCCCTGCCTCCCAACCTTATGTCTCAATTCCAAAGAAACAAGTAAATATTGATAATTTTAGGCCATTTACCTTTAGGAAACAGAAGTAGCAGGACATTCTTTTGAGTTTTCAGGAAAAATATGCGGAGGTGCATGTATATTCCCCAAGGACACACCAGAGAGATATTTTTCAACAACTGACACATTCTTTTGCAGACTAATTATTATGTATTTGTTGAATTATTCAACCAAGAAACGCTAGGCATTTAGTATGTTTCAGATGCTATCTTTACTATGGACATGAGAGGAAGATAAGCAAACACGTAGTTTACAACTCAGCTGAGATTTAAGGGCATAAGAACTGGTGGGACAGAAAGACTTAACATACAGAAGACTCTGCACAGCCATCCACCCTGAAATGAGCCTTGTTATTATCCTTGGTTGTCCTTAACCACTAGAACAATTTGGCCGCATGAAAGCTTGTGTTCAGCAACTCCCACAAACGTGCATGGAAGACAAGGAAAGATGACGTCTAGGATAGGTTTCAAGACACTGACAATTTCATCCTTCAGATTTCATATGGTACTAACACCATCCATGAATGTGGAGGTGTGTAGAGCTATCCCTTCTTCATATTGATGGAGCAAACTGGGATCAACTGCAGTCAGTGAACATTTTCTACACAGCTATCCAACAAAAGCTTGAGTTTGAAATTTCAAACGATGAAGTGTCAGATTCAGAGGAGCAGAAGCTTTTCTCTATCTGGACTCATAAAGGAAACAAGGTGTTTTACCTGCAGTGAAGAGGTCTTAAAAAGAGAGTACTCACTTCCACTTTGTGGTTTTCTTTATATGTAGTATCTTTTGGAACAGATTTCATGGTTAAATTGAGCTCTGCACAAGAGTAATTGACAGCATGTGGCACTCTTGGGTTATATTTGAACACCAAATGCTCCCCCTCATTTGAATATTTCATTGGTTCAATAAGGTACCTTTGGTCATTTACTCTGAAGAATCCCCTGTGGAAATTGAAAAACCAATATATTCAAGATACGTAACTATTTCATTTTTTTAGACTTTACCTTTTCAAAGAAGGGAAACTCGAGGTCAAGACTACATAAGATCGTAGTTGGATGTTTTGAGTGATAACGGAATGAGATTACATGTTGTCTTTCACCGAATTGATAGCTTTTTATATATGAATCTTTCCGAGGAATTCTGCCAGTCCAATTTCAGCTTTGAGTTGAGGTACAGTAACAAACCCCACCCGTGTTTGTTTCAGAGTTTTTGCAAAAGTTTTATGAATTTGCCATTAATGCACAAGTTTTAAGTATACACAAGTGCAAATATTACCATGGGCAATTTTGTCACTAAATGGCTTCTCGTTTCTGAAAATGGTGTGAACTGTTCAAAGGAAGGATTTGGAAGACAGATGTTCCTCATCTTACCATCTGTCTTGGCACATCCTCCTCCTTCATCCTTGAATTCAAGATCTATAGGGAACTAATAACTGCATAAATGAACTTTTACTTTCTAAAGACTAACATTGGAGTCTAATTTATAAAAAGGTAAATTATTAAACATTGTGGTTTAGTGAATTCACAGAGCTGGCAGTCAAGAAACTCAGATTTTGGATCCAGTTCTATCACTAGCAGGTTGAATACCCAGGAGCAAGTCTCTGATTTCAGCATCTTGTTCTCTAACACTGGAGCACAGGTTGGCTGAAGTCCAGAAATCCTGCAACTCTGAGATTCTTGATCATACACTACAAAATGCAACTTGCCACGGGCTATGTATTAGATTTTTTTTGTCAAGCATAAACATAAATCACAGGCTAGAGTTTATACTTATTGCTAAAAATAGCCCTTTCTTCATTACTGCTTCTATGTACAGGGTAAGTAAAAGAAATAAATCAAGTGAATATTTTTCAAATCCATACTAAAATTCATAAACGAAATAGGGAGATACTCTGCCTTACCTGAGACCATTGCATGTGCTGATGCTCGCAGAAGAATCAAGCTCATGTATAATAGATCCTTGATAAAAGCAGTGATCCTAAAATACCAGAAGAGACTCTTAATGTAAGTATAAGTATTAATATTAGGTAGGCATTAATACATAATTATTTTTGATCAGAATATACCAGTATTTCATTCTGATAAGTTATGCACTTTTCCGTGTATGCATTCATTGCTTTCTTTTATTTATGGATATTTGAGTCTGCTTTAGAAATCTTCCATCTTAATTACTGATTAATTTGTGTAAAGCCACATAGGGATCCGTTCCTCACAGATTTGAGCCTGTTGGTTGCTGACAATATTTTCAGGTAGGTGAATCTTTTGCTTATAAATATCACTTTTTTCTTCTATCCCAAGGTCTTTGACAAATGAATTCTCTTGCACTGGTATTATAATTTCCCAGTTGCCTATGAAATCAGGTTGTCTATGATCCCTAAAACTAGCTATTTCTCTCCAACCAGTGCCTCTCATGGCTTCCTTTGCTGCCTCTCTGCTTTAGTCAGTGTGGCATCTTTCTTACCTCTATTTGGTGTTTTGCTCTTGATAGTTTCACCAGATAATTATTCTTTCTATCATTTCCATCTGCTCAACTCCTCCCTTGTTTGACATTTTCCATGGCTCTCCAGGAGCCTCATATGTTCAAGGATAATAATCACCACCTGAACAAAAGAATGCTACCCAGTTTTCCTCTTGTGCTATTTTTCAAGAATGCATGATAACTTAGATCTCATAGAGCTCCACAGGTGCTTTAAAGAGAGGAAAGTGAGCAGGAGGAAGGGTGTTCTTAGATAAAAGGCTGCAGAGGGTATGTTCTGGAAAGGAGAATGAGGGTTAAAACAGCATCTCTATTCACTATAATAATATTAATGATAGATGCAAAGCTTGTCCAGAAAATGAAAAATCCTTAATGTGCATCGGAATCCTAATGCTGCATCGGAAGAACTGGGCAAGGGATTGCAAATCCATACACAGATCAACTGGATGGCGATTCCAAATTGCTTTCCAGTTTTAGATTTTTATCCCTAACCTTTACAAATCCATCAAGGAGCCTTATTTGTAATTCACTGGCATCCTGCTGCACCTTTCTTCCGCTTAACACTATGGAAGGTGTCAGGAATCAGTGTCGTAAAGGAAGACACATCACGGCTTTTCCTATTTTTCGTGCTCAGATTCCTTTACTATTCAAAGGATCATTCATGTTTTCTACTCGAGCAACATTCATTAAGAGTAAGCAACTCAAGACTCACTCGTGCTGTAGCACTTTTTGCTGAAATGTGTAAAGCTAGAATTGGGATGCAGTCACATCAGGAAATAACAGTTTCAAAGAAGCAAAACAGGAAGGTTATGTAAGATATCTACCATTATCTGAGGATGCTGGGTGATCATTTCTCCCTTTGTGGTGTAGAATGTTTCACTGTAATTTGAGCCTAGGAATTCTCTGAAAAAAGAAGGCAGAGAAGTCGTGATATTTACTCACTCTACAAATCTTATGGATAAAACCAGTCATGTGGTCGAAAGACCTCCACCCTGCCTTCAAATCTCATCAGTGTCTCTCCTATTAAAAATAAAAAAATTAAATTTTGGAAAAATGGTATTAGTACATGTCTGCAGTACATAACAGTTACATTGATTGTGGAGAGTTTGAACATGTACAGAACACATCTCAATTCCATTTTTGTCCCTTTCCCCTCCCCTCACGCCCTGATCCCACCAACTCTTCCTCCCCTCCCCATTTGCAAAAACTCTATTTCGATTTTGTAATCAATTTCTATTTTTTTTAAAAAAATGTCTTTCCCTTCCTTCCCTATCCTATTCCTCTATTTCTAGATCTTATGACCTTATAACGATAATAGAAAAATATTGCAGCAGTGTCAGCAAAATGGTACTTCATAAACAACTCAGAGTGAATGTTAAAATGCAAAAACTTGATATGCATGACACATATATAATCTTAATATATAATAACCAAATAGCTACATCTTTAGATAAAAACAATCTATACTATATTTATCATAATAAGTTTGGAAAACTATGGAGGAAATTGCCCTGAATTCCGCCTTTGTCATACTTATCACTGCTAACATTTGCGTGTCATACTTTGCAGTCTTTTGTTTGCATAAGTAAAGGGATGACTTTCTGAGTTATCAGTAGAATTACCCTGCTTCTGTCAGCTCTTTGTATCATCAGATTGAAAGCACCTACTGTTGGCCATCCAAACTCAAGAGCTGCTTTCCACAGCTGATTCGAACTCTAAAGCATAGAAACTTAAGACAGAGACACTATGCTTGAAAATGAAAGCTTTTTACATGAAAAAGCTGAGCTTTGTAAGTTTGGAGAATTTAGTAATAATGGCTTCAAAACAGTCTTCTATAAGGAAATTATCTGAGAAAAGTAAAAGACAAGTCAGGCTATCCAGCATGGGGATTGACTTTCTCTATGATGATGGAATCTTTTCCCTTCAGCTTTCTGCTCAATGGCACATTGCTAGTGAATTGAAAGAAGCGTAGTGGATTGTTTTGATTTGTGCTGTCATTTCTTAGCCTGCAAAATCTCTATCTGGTCTACCTCTTCTCTTCATCTCCCAGTCTTACATTTGTTTTTTGATGACCAAACATTTTAGCTGCATTTATTGTGGAGCATAGGGGAAAGTATAGTGGATTCTACTTGTCTGGGAGTGGAAGTACTACAAATCCATTACTCAAAAAAAAAAAAAATCACAACGTTAAGAAATTGTATACAATATTATACCATATGAAATTCGACTCTTTAGTATTATTGATATATAATGCCAATTTTCTGGGACAGCAGAGAAGCACAAGCTATGCTTATATCTACATTAAATCTCAAACTATTGATAGTACATAATCACGATACATCTACCAGTATTTATGCAGTTGCTGAGATCAGTTCAGTGTATGGGCTAACCAAGATGGCAACCAGACATTGCTGTTTCTCTCCAGTTAAGTACTGAAACATGTAATATATCATGAAAAATATTTAAGTAATCATTATAAATTTTGAAAATAAAAATCAGAGAAGTTATGTGGAATTAAAAGTATTGTTCAAGTCTTACAGTGTGGTGACTATAGCTAACCAAAATGCATTGATTACTTGAAGAATTTCTAACAGAGTAGATTTTTAAAGTGTGCTGTGTACAAACAAATAGTAAGTTGGTGAATGAATCTTGTGTTAGCCTTCCACAATCTATATATATTTCAAAGCATCGTGTTGTACTCCATTAACATATACATTTTTGTCAATTAAAAATGAAATAAATGAACACATATATAAAGAAATTGTTGTTTGATCATGGTTTTCCTGATTTAAGAGTGATGTGACATTTTAGTGACTGCTTAGATATTGTTGGAATAAGTACACTAATGCCTGTTTTAAATAAATTCTGATTAATGATTGTTAAAATCCATATAATTCAAGATTCCTCACAGTAAATAAATAGCAAACTATTTCAGAGGCTTTAAATTTGCCAATGTTTCTCACCCCTGACAACTCTTTCCTTGACCAAACTTTAATCAGGCATCTAACTTTCCCCACAGCCCTTCTGAATACGGGTAAAGTACAGTTTTGGCAAAAGAATCTCTCTAGGTCAGTTCAGCCAGAACTCCCCATCCTCCATATACCATCAGGCTTCTCATTCGCCATCACCCCTCAGGTGACAGCAGATCAGCGTGGTCTGTCTTCAGCAAGCTCCCTGTGCGGTGGGTTTAGACAGAAACCAGTGCACAGCTGATGTTTCTTATTGGCCATTTCTGTCTTCCACTCCACCTGGCTTGGCTATAAACTCCCACTTCCTTGTGCAGTATCCAATTTCTGTTCCTCACAGACAAACCTCTCCCTCACAACAGCCCTCAGACCCCAAGTGTGTGAATAAAGTCTGCCTGGCCAGGCATTAAGAATCGTCACTGAATGACTGTTCTATGACGACCCTCTGGACAGCCCTGGGCACTGTAGGCCCCACCGCAGCATGACAACTTTCCTTAAGTACTTCAAAGGCCAGCTCAAACATGTTTCCACACTCCATCAGGCAGAGTTTGACCTTCTTTTCTCTGTGTGTTTTTTACATTCCCTAAGATTTCTCTTCTGATATTGAGCCAGGAGATAAAGAGGAAATAAAAACCTCAAGTAATCTAAAGATCTAAAAGAAGCCAGTAAAGGAAGAGTAGAGGAATGAGTAAGAGAGGAGAAAAGCAGAAGTGAAATATACAATGAGGCTGAATATTAATGGATTCAGCAGCTCAATTAAAAATCCCAAATTATCAGAATGTATTAAGAATTTATTACCCAACTATTATCATATCAGATTTATATACTCCAAATGGAAACATACAGATATATATTTTTAAAAAAGGAAATGAAGACTAAACTTGCTGTTTTGATATTAGGGAACAAAGTGAAAATCGTCCCAAAATTAACAGAAATATTTGTAAGAAAAACTCCATGTACTGCAAATTATATAATGCAATCTAAAACAATCCATAAGTCAAAGAAGAAATTTCAAAGGAAAAGAGAAAATATTTTTAGATAAATGATAATAAAAATGAAACATATCAATTACATCAAGTGGGAGAAATGCTATATATTTAAGTACTTGTAATATAAAACAGTAAACATTTCCATAGGAATAGTAAACATGAAACACATAATGAAGAAAATAAGTTAGTAGGATTGGAGAAAAAAAAGTAAATACGGAAAAAATTAAAAGAGCTAAGTTTTAGCTATTTGAAAAACAACAATAAATTGGCAAAGTCTTTTAGACAGAGAGAAAAGCTCTCATTATTAGTGTCAGAAATAAAAGCAAATTTAATATATTATGTACTATATGCCCTTCTATTTTATACTGTATACATTAACAACAATAAAAGCATTATTAAACACTTGATACCAAAAATAAAGCCACTTAGAGGAAATAGATAGCTATAAAATTTTTAGTTTAGAATTGACACAAAATATTATAGAAAATCTGAATAGCCCCATATCAATGAAGTTGAATTTATCAGAAAATCTCCCACTCTCCTTTTCCTCACAAATATAGAAAATTATCCTCCTGGCATGAATTTTATTTAAAAATTCTATCAGACATTTTTAAAGTAATAATATCTTTTAAAAAAATAAGAGAACAACATTCATTCAAAATCTGACAAAAGTCACAAAAATGAAGCATATTAGCTAATATCCATCTTTAACGTAATTTCAAAAACCCTTAATAAGATAGTAGTAAATCAAATACCCACGTGTGTGTGTGAGAGAGAGAGAGAGTGTGTGTGTGTGTGTGTGTGTGTACTGGGTTTTTTTGTTCGTGGTACTGGGGATTGAATCTGGGGCCTTCATACCGAGCTAACTTAACAGCACTTTTTTATTTTTTATTTTTAGACAGGGCCTTTCAAGTTGCTAATTGGCCCAGGCAAGGCTCCAAGTTGTGATCCTTCTGCCTCAGCCTCCCCATGTGCTGGAATTTCAGGTGTATGCCACCATAATATATTTAAAAATAATGTATAATGAAGAGTCAGGTTTTATCCCAGGGCTGCAAGAATGGTGTAATATTTAAAATCAATATAAATCATATTACGGACATTTCAATGAATGTGTAGAAACCCATTTTCAACAAACTTCTCACAGAACCTTAATAATCTAATAAACTATATGAATGACAATTCTATAGGTAATTTCACATTTAACTATTTAATCCCCCCTTCTGTTTAAGATCAGCAACAAGGTTAAATTGTTCAATTCTCAATATTTCTACTGAAATTGTACTGGAGGTCCTATCGATTGCAATAAAACATAGAAATAAGAGGAATAATGATTACCAAAAAGGCCACAGGAAACTACTAATATCTTCAAATGACAAGATGATTATCTAGAAAATCTCTAAGTAACCCACAAAATAATAAATTAACACCCTCCAAACCACGGTTAATGTAAAAACTAATAGATATCTATATAGTATTTTCAAATAATAGAAAAATGCAATCAAAAGAAAATTGTATTTCCAAGAGCACCACGAATATTAAATATTTAGCAATATATTGAAGAAAAGACACACGAGCACTTTACAGTGGAAACTATAAGACAGATAGAAATGAAAGAAGACAAACACTGAGTTATAACTGTTAATACTCAACACTATTTAGATATCAACCAAAGAGCTCCACATTGATGTAGAGATTGAATAAAGCCCTACACAAAACTTCAGCAAGTTTTTTTTTCTAAAATTAACAGATGTTTCAAGCTTTATACAGAAATGCAGAGGAACCTGGATTCTGAATCTTTACAAGTTATTGTTGTGTTTTAATACATTTACTTCATGTGTATATTATAGGAATTAATAGACAACTTTACGATAAGGTGCAGAGAAATTGCATAATAAATATTATCTTCCTTCATAAGGTAATAAACAAAATATTCAGGTGATGAAAATGTTGTCAATGTGATTATGATTTTAGGCTTGCATTTATGCATACTTATCTGGGGAAAGATTCAGAATGGATGGAATTGTTAATTCTGTATTTTCATTGTTTTTGTTTTGTTTTGTGCTAATAGAGGAGACTGTTAATTGCCCAAATGTGACCCTTCCAGTTTTCTTGGTATTGAATAGCTTGACATGCTTTTAATATTTGGGGCTCCACAGAACTAGTTTGTGTATTATTGTAAGACAGTGGAAGTTAAGAGCAATAAGGAAAGACTCTAGATATTCAGAAGGTTTGACTACATAAGGTGTCACAAAGAAGCAAGTTCTTCCCAATTCTTACCTTGCTCTCTGAAAGAACTTGGTATGATATTTACATTATATAACTAAAAGCCAGATTAAAAACCAGGTTCTACATTTTTCTTTCATTCACTTGATTCCAAAATTACTGACCTATCAACCTTCTTTTTAGTGTGATTAGTTAGAGCTCAAAAGACTCCACCTACCCAAAATAGGTATTAATTCAGGAACTGGAGAAGTACTTCTATAGTCTTTAAGCTACTGAGATATAGTGAGCTTCTATTTTGAAAGGAAGAATCTACATAATATAAAGATTCAAGTAATTTAAGGAATTCACTTTACTGGTAGGTAGTTTTTACAAAAACAATGGAATATCATAGCCTAAATCTATAAAATATTGAATCACAGTAGAATGTACCTTGATTTCAGAAGGTGAAGAATTAAAATTTTCCTGTTTAGTTTTAATTCATACAACAATTCTTCTTCATATGCTTCCTGTAAAACAAAATCCCACATGTGACTTCCACACACAACTGTTTGGTGTATGCTGACCACTGGCGGTGGAGTAGAAGGAAGGAGGTGGTATCCAACTCCACAGGGCCCCAGAGCCCTTCAGGGAATAAATCCTGATAAAGTTGAATTTAGAGAGACCTAGATTTAGAAGGAAATTTTTACTCATTAGTTTAATTAACAATTTCAAAAGACTTTTCTCTAGCTATAAAGTAAAACAAAATGGAAAATGTATATATGCCCTTCATCCTGGGATATGCAAATGATTGTATATATATGCACGACTCTTCCCATGCACAGGCCTTCTGTACATGAATGTTTAACAATTTGGGGTATACTGATTCTTAGAAATGTTCTTTCACAGAATGCTTTTAGGATTGCAAAGCACAGTATGAATGACACTTTAGTCTTATCACTGATCAGAAATTTAATTTGGATTAACTGAAGTTAAAGTTCCATGGTCAACAATGTAGAAAAAAAATGTTTTCAATATACACTGACAAAATACCCTGAAGAAAGGGATTACAAACTTAGAACTTCATCAGCAATTTATAGCAATTCTAGTTTGTATATTTCTAGCTGTATATCTCTTATTGGAAAACTATATAGCCTTATCAGTAATAGATGTTGCCATTGATAAAAGTCTTCCAAATAATTAAATGATAAGTTACTGTGATGCATTTTCTTCTTTGTGAATCTTTAGCACTGACATTTTTCATTAGTGTCATTCATTATTTGTGGTTACATACATTTCTGATTCACGTCCTTTCACCGCTTTCTTTTGTGGTATTTTATTATGTTATGATCCCTACGAAATCTTGGTAATTTAAGAATTGCAGTCATTGGTCATGTATCTTGCATATTTTTAGTTCATTGTTCATTTTTTGAACAGTTATTACCTCAAGCACAGTGAAAACAAAAATATAATAATGTACAAGATGGAGGCCCTTGGTCCAAAGAAATTCCAACCTGGAAAAGAAGAAACATAAGCAACCAAGTAACTGAGTATAAGGGTCATAATGAGATAAATGTAAGTGTTCCTCTGGTGATACAGAAACAATCAGATTCAGGTGCATTACAGTACATGTAAGGCCCCCATTCAGGAAGGAGCTTGGCATGTTTGAGGAACCAAGAGAAATTCAGTATTGCTGGAAAGTTAAACTCTAGCATAAGTTGAATACAAATGAGAAGAAAAGCTTTAGGAAAGAACTAAACGGTTCACAGCTTCATTAGTAATGGATTTAGACCTTCTCCTAAGATCAAAGAGAAGCAGAGGGTTTAGGCAGAAATATTCAGAAAGCACAGTAATTAACAGCTTACTTACTCTAGTTAATGGCTCTGCAAAACTCAGCCCTGTAGATAGGGAAGCTACTTACAGGGTGTTGAAGGAATGCGGATGGTTTGGGCAGGGAGACAAAGAGGAGTAGGTAATTTCAGAAGGCTGTTACAAGCCAACTCTATCATCTTAGCTATTGTTTGATGGCAGAGACAGCCCAGAGGAGTCAAAAAGGAGACCAGGTTTCTGGTTTGTTTGTTAAATGTGTCACCACTGCAAAAAAGAAGCAAAGAGAAGCCGCTCTGTAGTGGGGAGGGGGATTTTTGCATTCATTGAATGTGAAATATATATAGTTAGGACTTTTAAATTGCAACTCTAACAAAAAGAATTAGGACTTTATTAGGAAGACTCAAGACTCAGAAGTGGGGAGACAAGAAATTAATCAAATAAAAGGCCAATAAGGAAGAAGAGTTGACTCACATACTGCACTTCAATTGGTTGTGTGTGTGTGTGTGTGTGTGTATGTGTGTATGTGTGTGTGGGGGGGTGTTATAACAGTGCAACAGTGGGTCTTTCTTTGAACATTTGAATATTTGAGTGTGGCTTTTGCATGGACTACTGTTAAAGAAGTTAAGGTTAATATTGTACTATATTATGTTTAATCTTGTCACTATTTTTAGTAAACTTAATTTGATTTACATTTAGAATTGTTCTAGATTTATAGAATAGTTGGAAAGATTGTGCTGTGTTCACACATACTGCCCCCTATCTACTGTTGACCTCATGCACAACTATGGTACTCCTCACAACTAAAGAATCAAGGTTCATATACTATTATTAAAGATCGTATTCCTCCAGATAATGTTCACTTTTACCTGATGTGCTATTGTTCTTCCAGGATTCCAAACACCACCTTGTACTTATCTGTCTAGTCTTCTTAAGCGGCTCACATCTGTGACACTTTCTCAAACTTTCCTTATTTTTTTCTAAATTGACATTTTTCCAGTGTACTTGTGTGAGGTCTTTCAAGTTTTAAACGCTTTCCTTGTGGTTAGTTTGCTCTTATGGATTTTCATGATGAAAACCATAGGAGAAGGAAGTTCCATTTTACGACCATACACAGTGTGTACCATCAACACAGCCTCACCAATGATGTTGGCCTTGGTTGCCTGACAGAGGTGGCGTTTGCCAGCTGCTTCCTCTGTAAAGTCTGTCTTTTCTCCTCTAATTCATACACTTTGACAAAAAGACATAACACACAGCCCATACAATGCTGAGGGTTTGTGCTCTGCCTCCTGAAGAATGGAGTATCTGCAGAAATTATTTGTTTCTTCTGCACAAGTAATGTGTCTATACTGTCACATTTATGTAGGCGTTCAGTCATTTGTGTATATCAGTGTAGGCTCGTGGAGTTTCACCTACACTTCATGTTACAGTATAAGGCCACATTATTTATGTTTTACTTAAATTGTCCTGGCTTTGGCTGTTTGGAGCTCTTTTTATTTGGCTCTTGAGTTCTCTTGTCATGTTCCCTCCATGTGGGTTTGGAGTTTTGTTTATTTGGGTTTTGCGGGGAAGGTAGTTTGCAGCAGCACAAGATGCTCAAGACTCATCTGGTGCATTTTCTGTCTCCCTCCAGACTCATCCTGTGCTTGGAAAGGGAACTGTTCTTATCAGTCTTGACTGAGTCCTAAGGCAACGGCTGCTAAAAGAACCTACCAGCTCCTCACAGTGAGGGGTAGAAAGCTAGTTTTGCACCCCCCATGCTGGGGACCACACTTCAATCAATGCAAAAGTTTGAAAAGGCGAGAAAAGAGCTGGAGATTAAGAGAAGAATTATTTATAAAGAAAATTACTGGAGGGCTGGGGATTTGGCTTAGTGGGTCCACCACCTGCTTTACAAGTGCAAGGTCCTGAGTTTGATCCCCAGTACCAAAAAAACAAAAAACAAAAGAGTTAAAAAACAAAATTATTGGAGAAAAATTAGACAGTCGTGACTTCCAAATAGGAGGGGAGGGAAAATTGCATTTAAATACTCTCAACCCAGGAGAAAGTAGGCTTGGTCTCAATGGGACCACTTGGAAAGTTGAAGTTGTTTTTACTTATGACTGAGAAACTGAGCCAGTGAGATCCTGGAAAACCATCTGCTGTCACAGTAGAAGGCAGGAAAGAAGATGCTTCGGGAGAGATTCATTCTTCCATAGTTGTTGGCCAAATGCCTGTCAGTATTTTGTATGAGTCAAATTTAAAACATCAGATCTAAAATGAAAGTGCCTAATGCTAAATATCTAAGAACATTCACTTAAGGTCTTTTGCAACAGTGGGAATGGAAAATAATTTTGAAGCTTGCTCCCTCTTATATACATTTTCTGTTTTCTATAACAAAAACAATGTCAAACACTTAAAAATTGTTAACACTCGAATAAACACTCATGTAAGTGACATGCCGAGCAGCACCTTTTGTTGCTGTGAAAGTTTTTCAACTTTGCAAGACCATCTTTGCAGCGAACAAACGTACATGCCACATCTCTGGGAAAGCAAACTCAAGGCTGAAGATCACCTTCCAGGGAACCAGCTTAGAACAGGTGTGGCTGCTTTAAATCAACCTGGAAAGCTGTTGCTAATATTTCTCCCATGAACCAAAAAGTGGTACCCCCAAAAGCTGAGCTTTGTTTTCTAACCTAGGAAATGCTGTTTCTGCTTGCACCATGCTGTAAGATGGGGGGGCTCCTCTGAATAACTGAGGCTCTTCTCTCCTATTTGTTTGTGTGTGAGAGGGGCTGTTGGCAGCTCTGTATGCACCTGTGGAAGCAGTAAGTCTTATCTACTGAAAGGAAAATGATACCGGAATGTCCGCATCATGGGTGTGCTCAAGGTCTCGCTTGTGAACCAGGCGCAGCCTTTTGGGAAGAATGAGCTCTGGACTCTCTGCTCCAAAGCATACATTTTCTGAAAGGAAACACAGGGGAACCCACATGGGATTAAAAGTCACACACAGTTGCTGAAGATCAGAACCGTTCTCGCACAGTTTCTTTGCTTCTCTTAGCAGCTAGGCACAGGCTTCTTCCTCACTCCCCAGCAAGGAGATCAGAAGGATATTTACAAAGTAGGAAATTATAAACCACACTGGAAAAGCGGTAAAGACATGCATGTCTACTGTCAGCTTCTATGTTCTGCGGTTGTCATTTTTTTCCTCCTGTGCTAGTCTGACAAGAATCCTCCTGTCAAAGCCTGTGAGGAAATGGCCTGTTTCAACATAAATTACTGAATTTTGGCATCCAGGAACATTTGCACCTGAAGTATTTAGTCTCATACTTAAGTGAATGGCTTTCACTTGTTAGAGAATCTTAGCTAGCCTCATGCTATTGCTGGACATGATCTTCAACTCCTGTCCTATCATTTTAGAAGACTATGAAATGACCTGCTACCTTAAGGAGCAATAAAAAAGATACAAGGAGAGGCTGAGTGTTTCTTGGAATATTCTCTGATCTAAATCAAGGTTTTACTGCTGCTCTCATTTTCGTATCTGTAAAGTGGAGATAAAATATTGAATTTTAATCATTCCAACACACAACAGGGCTAATGGTTACCACAGTGCCTGCTGTAATGCGGACATTCAGGAAGCATCCACTTGTTCCTTCTCCTCACCTTAGGCTGCAGTGCTTAAGACTGATATGGATTTCAGGGAATCATCTGATCTCCTTGATTAGCTATAACCTAGACTAAGTACTATGCTACACTCTCAACAAAACCACCGATGCATACATAGTTCTTATTTTTATCATTTAAATTTAGACTATGTGGCTAAAATGGCAGAACCGTATAGTACAATAAGAACATCCTGGTATAAAGAGTAAGACGTACCTTTAATCTGAGAAATGAGTAAAATCATCAAAAATATGCACCTGGGTAACATTCTGAATGGTTCTGGTGGAAGAGGGGCACATACATCTGAGGACAGCAGGGCCCTGTTCTCTTGCTTCTGCGGCAAGGATGTGAAGCCTAACAGACCGAGGGGCAGTTTTGATCCAGCTTAAGGAAGTAAGTGCTCCTTGATCCAGTTACACAACTTGTGAGATGCTTGAGGCTAAAACTTATGGGTTAGACACACTGTACTCATTAGAGAAAACCACAGATGTGGTGGTGGTGGGGTTGGCACAGATTCCTACAATCTGATTGTTGATACATTAAAACTTCAAAAGTGAAAAAAAAACCAAGGATGTTTTAGAAAAAACAACCAGTAATGTCTTCGAAAAAAATCACTAAAGTACGTTTATATATACACCTTTGGTGAAGTAGGTGAAATCTTTGCCATGTAAGTAACTGCATGCAAATATCATAAAGGAACATTTGATGAATAAAACAGAAATGTTGAACTTTTATATATGTAAAAACCACTTATTCATAAAAGTAAAGGGCAAACAGAAAGTCCAGGAATGTGTATCACATATATAAAGACTGGATAACTATTCTTTTTGTTTATCATTGAATTTATTGGTACATTTTAGGTACACAGTACAGTTATGTTCATCATTGGGATCTTGTACCCTTACATGACAGCTCTTAGTTCTCATTTTTCCCCTTGTCCTTGCCCTCCCTTCACCCCCTCCTCCTTTCCCTATTTACAAAAACTTTTTCCATTTTTTCATTTTCTCATGTTTTTTTCTTTTCCCTTATTTCCTTTGCCCTACCCTTCCCACTTCCCCTACAGCTTTAGCCACTTACTTCTTATTTCTCATTGTCAATTAGACCATTTGGCTCTTATTTACACTTTTAGTTTTTCACACCAGACAAACTATTTGGTATTCACACATGTGTGACTTATTTATTTCACTTAAAAGTATTCTTGCATGACAGAATTTCTTCCAAGTAATACAAAAGGAAAATAGACGAATGCACAAGGGATTAGGACACACACCTTTAGCCACTTACTTCCTATTTCTCATTGTCAATTAGACCATTTGGCTCTTATTTACACTTTTAGTTTTTCACACCAGAGAAACTATTTGGTATTCACACATGTGTGACTTATTTATTTCACTTAAAAGTATTCTTGCACGACAGAATTTCTTCCAAGTAATACAAAAGGAAAATAGACGAATGCACAAGGGATTAGGACACACCTGCTTGTGTATCTGTTCTCTTGTGGTGGCACAAGGCATTCCACTGCTAGTAAAATCACTGTGTCTGCATTTGAGACTTTGTTTCATTCTGCAGCTCACAGTCTCTCTCCATATTCCTGCAGACTGAAGCAGTTTGTAACCGGCAGGAGTCCTAAATTCAGTGGATACTTTGGCTCCTTATCTTACTTGCCCTCTCAACAACATCTGGCACTTTTGCCCATACTCAACCCTTGAAATAGTCTACTTAACCCCCATGGCAGAATAGTGATCTTTCTAGCTCTTTGGCAACTTCGGCAATACACACTCCACCTAGCCTCAAAGTTTTCCAGTGCCTCCAGGATCTTTTTCACTGAGGTGATGGGGAAGAAGCCATGAGGAAAGTTCTCTCCCTTCATTCCCATCACATTTACCTTACTCTCAGCAGCTGCTCCCCTATGAACTCCTTGTGGAGATGGGAAGGGGCCCTGACATGGGGAGACACAGGAGAGAAGTGTGGGGAAGGGAAAGTAAAAATGATTAAGCTGTGATAAGCTCATGTAGCAATTCCCTGAGAAGGGTACAACTGTCACGTAGTGCAAACATATCCTAATGAAAAAGAGAAAAGTTGCTCGCCTCCTTTTTCTGTCCATACTTCTAGCTTTTCTCCACCACTGGACACTGAGCTCTATCCTTTCTCCCTGAGAAGGGTACAACTGTCACGTAGTGCAAACATAACCTAATGAAAAAGAGAAAAGTTGCTTGCCTCCTTTTTCTGTCCATACTTCTAGCTTTTCTCCACCACTGGACACTGAGCTCTATCCTTTATTGTTCCCCAGTGTGGACCCTCCATTGTTATCACCTCTACTAGTATATGCATATTAAAACAAGAGCTCACTTTTGATATTCTTTTTAAAAGTACTTCTATTTCACTCTCTTGTTATTCAGCTACTCTTTATTTTTTTGACAGCAAACCTTGAAAGAAGACTCTATAGTTTGTTTCCATTTTTTTCCAACTTTTAATCCTCCATCTAACCATGAAATTTTTATCAGTGTTACCAATGATCTCTGCTATGTTGAATTCAATGGTTGATGGTTATTCCTCAGTCACTGTACCTTTTAGAAGCATTCAGAGTTGATCCTTTACACCTTTTGCAAAATATTAGCTCCTTGTAAATCATGCCTCTCCTCCATGCTTACTCGCTGCATGTTCTTGGTCTCCTTCATTGGTTTCTCCTTCTTTCCATAGAATATAAATCCTTCAGATTCCCAGGGCTCTGTTCTAAAATGTTTCCCTTCCAGTCACTAATGAGTTGCTTGCCTTCCGATCATTTGGCTTTAGATATCTATAAAGTGATGGCTACCAACTTTCTTTATCTAATCTGAGCTCTGATTTCCAAATTCATAACAGCAACCCTTTCCAGCATTTTCACTGGTATATCTAATAGACATCTCAAACATAAGTAGAAAGCCCGATTCCTGTCTTTGTCTTTGTGCTCCAAACTGATTTTCACAGTTTGACTATATGCTTTATCAACTCCATCCTCCCATTACTCAGGGGTCATCCTTGATTCCTCACTGTTCCTGACAGCTTGCATCCTATCCATCAGCAAATCCAACTAGCTCTAGCCTAAAAAGACATAAGGATGTGACCAGGTCTCACATATATTTCTGTGCTATCCAAAGACATCATCATTTCCAGCCTCGGGAAATAGCCTCTGAATGTATCTGTCTGTTGTGTATTATCTATACGTCATCCCTAATTATGTCATTAGTTTGTGTCCCCGGGTGCCTTTGTGTAAGCCTTTTCAAGTGCCTCTGGTCTTGGAGTATTAATGAGGTCTCAGGATGACCTCCAGCATCTATGTGATTATCTTGATGTTCTCTGGCTTCTTCCCACTTCTCTCACTCCAAGCCAATCACCGCTTTTCTTAAGCATTTAAGAAGCAAAGCCAAGCACACTCTGCCTCGAGGGTCTTTGCTTGCTGTTCCTTCGAATGGAGTGTTCCCACTCAAATTCTACTTCCTCTTTCCTCCTGGTCTCTACTCCAATAGAATCACGCCACTGAGGGATTTTCTAAGTATTTCTGTAAAATAGACTTTTTCCATTTCCATCTTGGCAACTCTAAGCCCTTCGTGGCTATGCAGTAGTCAAATTTGAAATTTACGTGTTTGTTTTTTAATTTCTTAGATCCTTTTCTGAAAATGTAAACTCCATAAGGACAAATATTTTGTCTGTTTTGTTTGCTACTCTATCTTTAGTTCTTGCAATAGTAGGTTGTTGGGGGATTTTTATACATTCACAAAATGAGATGATCTCTGCTGTAAGCACTTAGTATAACTAATTATGAAGGAGCTTCTACAGTAAATTAAAGTTCTCGTTCAAAACTCATCACCTGGTTTCAATTCCCAGTGCTTAAATTTCCTGCCAATGGATTTTGGACAATATCTGTTTTTTCTTTGCTTCAGGTTTTGTCTTCCAAAATGAAAATGGTACCTCATTCGGAGTAGCCATTGTAAGAATAAGACAATTTATGTAGATCACTTAAAAGCAATGCCTCCTACATATTAAAAGCTAAATGTTCATTTCTCAAAAGGTAATATCAGTGTTCATCCTTATTGTGAGCACATTTACTGCTTTAGCTCCCCCCACACCCCGCGTTTCTCTCCCCGTCTCTGTTTTGTCCAGGCAGTCTGCTTGTCTCTCTTTTTCCCTCGGTGCAGCACTTTCTCCCACTAAAGTAGCTCTTTAGCTTGGTGGTGCTGCAACCTGCTTCACAAGTGCGACAAAAAAGATACAAACAAAGTAACTCTAGATTTTGTCTCTCCACCTATAGCCCTTTTCCCTCC